TAGGTTTGAACCTGCCACCCTCAGTATATGGGGCCGGCGCCCTACCCACTGAGCTACAGGAGCCGCCCTATTTATTTTCTTTTAATCATAAATTTTCCTGTATTACATCGCTTGTGTTGTACCTTGTTTCAAATGCATTTTAGGAAGTAGGTATTATGAAAGTTTTAAATGTACTCTGAAAATTCTGGGTCAAAGTAATAAGCTGTAGACTAAATAAATACAGCTGAATTCAGTCTAAATTATGGGAACTCTTCTTGGATAACAATTAGTATTTCGGTAAGTACTGTGCTAATAACTTTATTATGAATTATCTAGTACTATCCTATAGTATAACTGTTTTTTATCACAAACACCCCCCCATACGAAGTTCAAAGAAAATGGTGAAATGGTCCTGCTAAGACTCAAGCTGGCTGACTCCAAAGTCAGGCTCCTAACTATAATGTGTATTGCTTCCCAAGCTGCACATTCTATTTTACATCACCGGTGGTCTTCCTCTGGGATTCTTTATGGGAGAATGTTCACCGCCACCCCCAACGAACTGGAACCCAGTCTTCTAACACACTTCTTGCTGTTCCACGGTCTCATCACGTTCAACCCCCTACTCAGACACCGGTCCCCCATTAGAGCCCCTTCTCTTCATTCAGCCACGCGTACTCTCAACAGAGCTGTCTCTTCACACTGCGGTGCCCTCAAAGACCGTGGTCCCTTCAGACTCTCATCTCTCAGCTGGGCCCCCGCTCCTCACTCCGGGGATCCCCAAGAGTCCCTCCAATTCCCTCAGGCCCTTGTCACCCAGCAGAGCCCTCAGACTCTGCTCTTCCAGAAAAGCTGTGATTCTTATTTTCCATCAGACCGCAATATCCCTCGGCAAACTTTCCCAGAGATTTTCTTGGAAAGGTCACACCCCAACCACTAAAGGCAGGTCTCTACCTTTCCCTTTACCAACCTCCTCCCATAATTGTACTTTTCGTCTTTTTATCTGCTTCTTATTCACTCTGCTCTGCCTCCTCTACCATCTCGTGGTCCAGTTTCAATGCCTGGATTTCCTCCAAAACTCACCCACTGCCCTTCTCAGAGCGGAGTTCCGAGCGCTTCACCTCTCACCTCCCGGAGTCTCGCCGCTCGGGGTTAGGCGATTCCCCGCCCCCGCCCGGAGTAAGCCTTTCTGCCCAGCCGTGGAGTAAACCCCGCCCCTCAAAGCCTATTGGTCATTATTCTGAAAAAGTCCCGCCCCTCTCGCTTTCAGCCCGCCTCCCCACCCTGCTCCCCTTGTTTTCATTCCCCCTGTCACACGAGGCAGTGGCAAACCCGAAGTGGGAGGGGAGAAATAGAAGGAGGGAAGGGAGTGGAAAGAGGGCGGAAAGTGAAAGGCACAGAGGGCCTCTCTGTCTCTCGTCTGACTAGGTTCTCGACTGCTCCTGGCCGCCGATGTATTGTGGGATCGCGGCGCGGTTCCTGAGACACTCGGAACCGCAGGGGAGCCCACTAGAGAGCGCCTCCTATCGTCCATAAGGTTGCCCTGCCATTCCTCGGCACCCCAACTCCCCTCACCCCCCCATCGCCTCCTCTTCCATCCTCCAGTTCAAAATGGCGACGGCGGCGGCAGCGGCGGCGGCGATGGCTCCTCCGGGCTGCCCGGGTTCGTGCCCCAACTTCGCCGTAGTCTGCTCCTTCTTAGAGCGCTACGGGCCGCTGCTAGATCTGCCTGAGTTGCCCTTCCCCGAGCTGGAGCGGGTGCTGCAGGCGCCGCCGCCAGACATCGGCAACGGAGAAGGTAAGCTAGGGGCCCGAATGCCCAGCGGGAAGCGGCCCTGGCGCGCTCCTTCTCTTAGCTCTTCGCAGACACTCGGGGCCTCCAAAGCTCTGCCCTCCTCCTGGGGCGCAACTCTGTCGGGCCCATCTTCTCCGCCCAGCCTCGGAGGTCTTGGGCTGTGAGGAGGCGGGGCGGTGGCCCCCTAGGGCCACTCGGCCTGGCTGGGAGTGGAATTGGGGGCGTCGCTGGTTAGGTGTGGACTGGGGGCGGGGAGGGGTCATTGTGCTGGCCGGCCGCCCCAGGGGCTGTTCCCCCGCGGCGGGGGCTGGTCCCCCTCCCCTTCTCTCCCTTGGCAGCGGGGGAAGGGGAGCGCAGGTTCCGGCCAGCTTTGCGCTTTTCTCTTCCTCCCCTCCTGGGCTCCCTCCCCTCCTCCCACCAAACCTCCCGACTGTCTCGAGGGAGGCTGGGCGCGTCTTCTCGGGGCGCCCCCTCATCTCTCTTCACCTGGATGGGCGGGGGCCAGCGGGCAGTCAACTCTCCCTCCCTCTGTTGAGAAGTCCCCCGGGAGATTCGTCCCACTTCCTTTCCCCTCGAGGGTTGGTTTAACCCCCCAACTCCTTCCTCGAAGTGGGGAGGTCTGCTCCTCCCTCATGGGAGGGGGTTCCTTCTCCATTCTTGGAAGGGGGCGACGTCGGTTCAGCTTCTCTTCGGAGAGGAGAGGGTTAATTCCTCCTCCATAGTTTTCCTGCTCCCTCCCCACCTCCCCCCAAATAATAGAAAAGCATCTCCCCACTTTTCCGATCCCTTCCCCCTTCATCTTGGCAGCAGGGCTTAGGGGAAGGAGAAGTCGCCCTCCCATTTGTAGGGTGGGGTGGAGTGGTTAGTATGTAGGCTGGAGGAGGGGCTCTGACGGAGGGGGAAACTGTTGAAGAAGGTGCTTGTTGCTCATGTTTCTCTCTGGTGCCGCTGGTCTATTATTGGTGTTCGCAAGTGGTGCTCCTTCCACATAAGGCCACCGCGCGGGTGCAGGGCGCATGCTCTGCCCGGCCCCATTGAAACTTCCTGCTGCTGCTGGTTCTTTTGCTGGAGCATCTCAGCGCAGCGCTTGCTGCCTCTCGCCCTCACGCTGAGTGCTTACACTCATCCCCATTTATTCCCGATCCATGCCTCTCCTTTTCTGGCACATTTCTTCCCTCAGAGAAGGTTTTTTTGTTGTATTCTGAGCATTTCCTTTATCTGGGAACAGCCCTTGGCTGAGAGGAAACGATTTCCGAATAGGTCTTTTTTGGGGGGAGTCCATATTAGATAGAGTGGACTGGATTTTGTACAAGACAAATAGCTATTTCCTTTTCCAGGAAAGCAGGCTCACTCTTCTATTCTCTGTGTAAGTGAAGAAGTTTTTGTTAACAGAATTTACTTACGTTGCTAGGAAGGTCCTAGGTATGAAGTTCTTGAAAATATTCCTTGTAGAGAATAGGCATGATGCTATGGCTACCAAGGGCTCAAATTAATATAGCAGTTATAATGCAAGTCTATAGCTTTTTATCTCTTCTAACTTATACAGATCCTTTTACCCTTAAACTCTGTCTTACAAAAGGCAAATTTTTTAAACAATACGAAATAGGAAGATAATTATATAAAAACTTTCTGCAAGATTTCTTTAAAAATTAAGCTCACCAATTGTAGTAATTTCTTCTTTCTTAGTTTTCCTTTTTTTGGGGGGGGGCCCAGGGTTGGGTTTGAACCTGCCACCTCTGGCATATGGGGCCAGTGCCCTACTCCTTTGAGCCACAGGCGCCGCCCATCTTTCTTTATTAAAAGAGGATCTGTGTTGTCCAGGCTAGAGTGCAGTGGTGCCATCATAACTCACTGTAACCTCCAACTGCTGGGTTCAAACAATACTCTTGTCTCCTGAGGAGCTGGGACTGTAGGAGTTACCACCACACCTGCTAATTTGGGGAGGGGGGCCAGGAATAAAGGTCTCACTGTGTTGCCCAGGTTGGTCTCAAACTTCTGATCTCACGTGAGCTCCCTTGCCTTGGCCTCCCAAAGTGTTGGGGTTACAGGCCTGAGCTACCACACCAGGCCTAATGTAGTATTTCCATTATCAAGTTGTATTTACCTTTTTTTTTTTTTTTCACCTACTCATTGTGAAGTAGGTGCTTTAGTAAGTTGCTTTCAGGATACCTTTGGAAATGATAGTAATGTATCTGTCAAAGAAAGAAATGTGGGAATTTGGAGAAAGAATTGCTGGCAAATTGTTTTTGGGATGTGTTAGACCAAGTTGAGAGGATTTTAAGCATGGCATGGTATTTGGGTAGTATACGACTTTGTTTGCCTTTGAGGATTTTTTTCTGGTTTTTTTTTGCATGTTAAGGGGTAATGACTTCTAGTTTTAACCACTGCGTTTAGTTTATATTAGTCTCAGAAGAAAAAAAAATATTAGGGCCAGTTTAATACTTTTATAGTTGACTGGTGGGCCACCAGCTAAGTAAAAATGGAAAATAATGTGGGCTAAGCAGAATCATTTAGTTCAGCCACTGCATTACCATTGGTATAGTTGCTAAGGGGACTGATAATAATAGTCCCTGTCATAAGGTTATTTTAGAATATATTAATTAATGTTATACAGTTCAGTTCACTTGGCAAATAAAGTCTCTGTAAGTGAAATGCTGTTACTATGCAGGGAAAAGATTTTCAGAGCTTTGATGGTCAAAGCTGATATAATAGTTGATAAAACAATGCTGGTTCAGCCAGCAAGATTTGAATGGAATCTTTTGGAAGGGAAGTGTGGTGTACTAGCAGTTAAAAGATACGGATTTAGTGTGAAAAAAGACATGGATAGCAGTGTAATATTTAGGTTATAGGAGAAATCACTAATTTATATGGACCTCAGTTTCAGTAAATAGAGATAATATCTGAGGATCTACTGAAATGTTTCAAAAGTCCTTTTGTAAATCAAACATTTATAAATTTTATTAAAGATGTTTTTCAGGTAAGAAACATGAGTGCATTTGGAGTTAAAATGTTAAATTTTTTGTATGATGTGAGCACAAGTATAATATTAAACTATTATACCATTGGGGGATCGTTATTACAATCAAATGAGTTTTGCTCTATATAAATTTCAATGTTTGTAAATCAGCTCTTCCCATTTAAAAATTCCTAGTTTATAAAACCTGTGTTTTTTCCTAGGATGATTAGCCCTTAGAATGTACCTTTTAAAGTGTATTCTTCTGAGCTGCCAATTTAATACTTTTTATGTAACATTTATTGTGATAAGATGTGTCAACATTAAGATATCCTTTGGAGATTCTTGGCCTTTTGGCTAAGATCAACTGAAGATATCCTTTGGAGGTAACTTTAGTTCTCTGTATTGTCATTGTTTAAGTACTTTGTGATCTTTCATCTGAAAATTAAAGTTTTAATTTATTTATTTATTTATTTTGAGATAGAGTTTCCCTTATTAACCCTCGGTAGAGTGCTGTGGTGTCACAGCTCACAGCAACCTCCAACTCCTTGGGCTTAGGCAGTTCTCTTACCTCAGCCTCCCGAGTGGACCACAGGTGCCTACTACAATGCCCAGCTATTTTTTTGTTGCAGTTTGGCTGGGGCTGGGTTTGAACCCACCACCCTCAGTATATGGGGCTGGCACCTGACCCACTAAGCCACAGGCGCTGCCCTTCATTTATTTTTAAATTTTTTCTTAGAGATGGGATCTTACTCTGTCACTTAGGCTGGAGTGTAGTAGGATATCATAGCTCACTGCAGCCTGAAACTCCTGGGCTGAAATGATGCTCTTGCCTTAGCCTCCTGAATAGTTTGGACTATAGGCATGTGCCACCATGCCTGGCTAATTTTTTTTTTTTTTTTTGAGACAGTCTTACTATGTCACCCTCGGTAGAGTGCGGTGGTATCACAGCTCACAGCAACTTCCGACTCTTGGGCTTAAGCGATTCTCTTGCCTCAGCTTCTGGAGTAGCTGGGACTATAGGCACCTGTCACAACACCTGGCTATTTTTTGGTTGCAGCTGTTATTGTTGTTTAGCAGGCCCAGGCCAGGCTTGAACCTGCCACCTTCAGTGTATGTGACCAGTGCGCTGCTCACTGAGCTACAGGCACCGAGCCAATGCCTGGCAAATTTTTTATTTTTGTGGAGATGGGCTCTTGTGTTGCCTGGGCTGGTCTCAGATTCCTGACCGCAAGCAATACTCCTTGCCTTCGCCTCCCAAAGTGCTGGGATGATGTGCATGGGCCACCACTTTCTAAGTTTTAATTTGACATTATGGTTTCAGCTTAGAATCCCTCATTCCCCACTGAGTCAGTTATAAAATTTGATTTTATAAATTGTCTAATTTTAGTGACATAGTAAT